ATATACGACAGGTCTGGACCACTCGTGAATTTTGTTCATATCTGAAAAAATCTTAGAATACGAAAACATTGGTGAATGTCACAAATTCTCCTAAATCACTCGTACGCACAACTTAAGAACAAATCTGTGCGTACGAACGGTTCTTGCATGAGGTCCAATAATGCTAAAACCAGTGGGTATTACAGAGCACTCACATATGAAAGTCCTGGTCCTACACTGCAGAAAAGTAATGTTTTATTGTGTGTCATATTACAGAGCGCCATTGTGTCTACCATTCAGACTCTCAGAGCTATTTGATTTTTTACAACCTTCAGTGTCACCCTGCACTGTGATGGCTGGCATCAGCTGGATTAGTTCAGTGCTCCATGCGTAGGCTGCCAATAACACCAGACCAAAGGACTGTGTTTGGAGCCTGGACATCATGACATGGTCAGCTGTGAATCTGGGCTCTGCATTGCCACAAATGATCTTAGTGTGTTTATGTGGCGCAGAAGGAAGAGGACGAGTCCTGCCAGTGTTGTTGAGAGACACCAGTGTTACTCTTGGCTTTGTAGTGCGGTGCATTATAGTAGTGATGTGCAGATCGATTCTGAAATATCGATACTACCGATACCAGAACTTTATGTTATAGAGTCAATACTAAAATCAAAATATCGATACTTTGATACTTTAGTTATTTCACATAATGTGTATCATTAACAGGAAAATAGTGGAAAATAACTAAACAATTCAAATTTTGTCTGAATCATATGTGGTTGGAGGGAACTACTTTTTCTTCCGCTTGAGTAATGCATAAGCACAGTGGCACGTGTTCAGTCAGTCACTCAGGGCCTTTCCCAATCAGTGGCTACACACTCGCCCTACACTCAGTTTGCGCGTTCCCGCTGAGGGTTGGCCATATTAAGTCCCATCTGAAACCAYTTKGGTACGAGGGCGAGTGGCTTATTAAGCCCTCCACAGCAAGTCTGCATCCAGTGCAGACTTGATCAGCACGTGCAACACCAAATAGTGGTCGACATGGAGGACAGGACAAATAAATAAGTTCCACATATGTTTTGTACACATATTTACTAAGTAAACACCTCACCAACAAATATAATTTCACATAAAACATGTTTAATTCAATTAAAACTTTATTAAAGACACAGAACCATGGTCCACATTTAAAAAAGAAGAACGGAAACATTTTAAAAAATAAAGAAAAATAAATTATTTTAAAAAATGTTAAAAGTGCAGTTATTTTGACAAGTTATGACCCTGTTTGTTACAAATACAGTCATATCTGAAAAACTCTTTAAAATGGTGGGCCTAATTAAATATTTTCTTTGGTCCTATTAAAAAAAGTGTTTGTTCTCCAGCGTTCAGTCGCCGCCAGATGTTGGACTGTTACCACGGTGACGACAGCTTCCTGTTCCGGTGGTGTGAGGAGAGCCCGTCTCAAAAGAGGAGGGTGTATTCAGCGCCATCAAGCTGTGAGGGGGCTTCACAGCGAGTGTAGTGTGTAGGGAGTAGGGCGAGTGTGTAGCCACTGATTGGGAAAGGGCCTCAGTCTGTAGATGTATGGCAGGTCATTTTAACATAAAATCTGTTTTGTTTGACTGTCTGTAATTAAATTCTAGAAGAGGGGTTACCAAAGTTTTTCATGCTATGGCCCCCCAAACAGCATTAGCTCCAGACAGGGACCTTCTTGCTAAACCACAAACAATGCTACAAAATATACAAAGTAACAACTTTTAGAATACTTTTTCTCACTTTTATTCACTATTCAAAAATGTTTTTATTTCTTTAGAATAAGAATTTAAAATTGTGCCAAACAAATGTAGGGTTAGGGTTAGAAAGACTTTTAAATTAAGTAAATTACTATGTCATGTAATTTAAAAAAAAAACCACTACTTTTTAAGATTTAACAGACACATTATGTGTGTTATCACAAAGTATCAGTATCGGATCAGTATCGCCGATACCAGCCACATTTTACTTGGTATCAGTATCGGAAAGAAAATTGGCAGTATGGAACATCACTACATTATAGTTTGTAACTTTAGGTCACCTCTGGCAGTGATTTTTATATCTGGCAGCACAACGCTACATCACTGACATCCTGCCTAACCCTAATGTCTAACCCTAACATCCCAAGTCTTAAAGGATCAGCTTGTGCATCAGCTCCAGTTTAATGGTGGTCTGTTCAGTCTTTAGGGTCAAGTGTAACAGCTGTGGGTTGACTTGCAACAAGAAAAGAGACAATTCTATGATTTTGTTTTACACAATATCACCAGGCCAGAAGGAATGCCACACTGAGATCTCTGATTTTCCATGTGATCTGATATTGTATTTCTTGTAGTGCAGTCAGAGGACCTTTAATTACATGTTTAGTTTCATTTCATTTCCACCACTCCTTCTGGGTAATTTACTTTTGTTGTCAGTGAGTAAAAATGTGCATAAGTAGTTTAATTTAGAATATCTTCAGAGGAACTGCATAATGGGGAAATAATTTCTAATCTCATCAACATTGTTTTATTTGGGGACTTCAGTGTTTTTGTCTGATTTTATTTGTATGGCTTCTTTACATTTGAATGAATTATATTTTGCTTTAAGTTCTTAAAAACCTTTTGATTTAAAGGTAAGCAGATGGTTTAGGTTTAATTTTCTGACCAGACTATCAAAAGTTTGTTGGTCATGTCTGAAATGCCTTGACTTCTAAATTAAATAAAAGTTCACTTAACCAGTATAACCCATTTACTTTTGCCTATTTATTGCCCTGTTGTAACAAGAAATCTTTTCCATAACATAAATACAAAATTTCAATTATTATATAATATATATTTAAACATGAACCTTAAAAACTCAGAGGTTTTTAATCTAAATAGATACAGTGGGTAAAATAAGTATGGAAAAAGTCACCATTTTTCTCAGTAAATATATTACTAGAGGTGCTAATGACATGAAATTTTCACCAGATG